GCTTTCGATTTAAAAAAAAAAAAGTAAATTTAGAGTGAGTTTTGATTAGAAAAACAAGAAAAAAAAAAGCTCAGCATAAAAGATTTTTAATAAACAAATATCATAAAAATGTCTGCTAGATTCGAACAAAAGTTGAGAGAGAGAGTGTTTGGAAGGGAAAAAAAAAAGAATTCTACAATTATGAAAAGCCTCTTTGTCGCTATACGCCTTTTTAAAGCACAGAAATTCAGAAATTGCATATATATATAGACAAGTATTTAAGAAAAGAAAAGCCATTTTTTTTCTTTCATCTCGTAGTCTTCTTCCATTTCTTTTCGTTTTTCTTTATTGCTTTATTTTTTTCATGGAAAAAAGTTATTGTTAAAAAACACAGCTAATGACATTTTTGTACCGAATTTCTTCGCTTTGATGAACAAGCTTTTGAAGATGTTTAATTTTTTTTTTCTTTCTTCTTCTTCTTCTTGCTTTTAAAAGAAGACGGAATATTTCATTTAGATTTATTTATTGGCAACGGTTTTCGTTCTAAGTTTTTCATAATAAAGTTGGAATGGAAGCTTTTAACGCTGATGATTTCTAGTTTTAGTTTCTAATGAATGCTCTGTATTGAATGCTGTAGCATGTGTATAAAACTTTCTTTTTTCTTTTTAAAAAAGGCAAAGAAATAAAACTGCATTGTATAAACAAAAGTGCTTTCAATTAGGTAATGGGAAAAAAGTCAGTTCCAAATAGCCTTTCTTAAAAATTCGTCTTGAAAACATTATTATTAGAAAAAAGGAATTCTGCAGTAAAAAAATAATAACAGTTTTACTCTTGCTTATTAATTGGTTATGTATTATGAAAAACTTTTAGCTTTTGCTTAGATTTTTATTAAAAATAAGAATACTTTTTCATAAAAATATGTTTAAAATAATTAAATTTCAATTTACACATAAAAATATATTATAAGTATTGTATATTTTTACTTTTATAAAGAACGGATCGAAATCTAATTATATGTTTAGAATAAGGGATTATATATATATATTTTGAATCAATGTTAATGATCAAGGTCAACTTCAAGGTCAGTTACTAATGAATGCTGGGTATTGAATGATGTATGTGTGTAAAATGAATGATCTATGTGTGTAAAATGCATAAAACTTTCTGTTTTCTTTTTTGAAAAAGGCAAAGAAATAAAACTGCATTGTATAAACAAAAGTGCTTTTAATTAGGTAATAGGAAAAAAGTTAGTTGCAAATAGCCTTTCTTACAATTTCGTCTTGGAAAGATTATTATTAGAAAAAAAAGTAAAAAATAATAACAGTTTTACTTTTGCTTGTTAATTGGTTACGTATTACGAAAAAGTTTTAGCTTTTTCGTTAGATTTTTATTAAGAAGAAGAATGATTCATAAGTATAAAAGTTCTATTACTTTATATTATAAGTAATGTATTTTATTAATTTTTACGTTTATATAAAATTGATCGAAATCTAGTTATATGTTACGAATAAGGGTATATTATTTTGAATCAATGTTAATGATCAAGGTCAATTTCAAGGTCAGTTACTAATGAATGCTGGGTATTGAATGATGTGGCATGTGTATAAAATGCATAAAACTTTCTTTTTTTTTAAAAAAAAGGCGAAGAAATAAAACTGCATTGTATAAACAAAAGTGCTTTCAATTAGCTAATGGGAAAAAAAGTCAGTTCCAAATAGTCTTTCTTAAAATTTTGTCTTGAAAACATTATTATTAGAAAAAAAGTAAGTAATTGCTTAAATATTATGAAAAACTTTTAGTTCGTTAGATTTATATTAAAAATAAGAATACTGTTGCATAAAAATATATTAAAATAATTAAATTGCAATCTGCTCATAAAAATATAAGTATAGTAATTTGTTAATTTTTACTTTATAAAGAACTGATCGAAATCTAGTTATATGTTTCGAATAAGGGTATATATTTTGAATCAATGTTAATGACCAAGGTAAGTTCGTGATGAATGCTCTGTTTTTTTGAAAAAGGCAAAGAAATAAAATTGCAGAAGAATGCAATGCAGTTGCATTGTATAAACAAAACTGCTTTCAATTAGGTAATGGAAAAAAGTCAATTACATATAAGTTTTCTTAATATAATATCATCTTCAAAACATTATTATTAGAAAAAAGGAATTCTATAGAAAAAGATAAAAAATAATAACAGTTTTACTTTTGCTTATTAATTGCTATCGTATTACGAAAAACCTTTAGCTTTTCTTCAGATTTATATTAAAAAGAAGAATGATTCATAAGTAAAAAAATTCTATTGCTTTATGTTATAAATAATATTAGTTATTAATTTTTACTTTTATAAAGACCTGATTGAAATCTAGTTATATGTTTCAAATAAGTGGTATATATTTTGAATCAATTTTAATGACCAAGGTCAGTTTAGTTACTAATGAATGCTCGGTATTGAATGATGCAATATGTGCATAAAATGCATAAAACGGTTTTTTTTTTTTGAAAAAGGCAAAGAAATAAAACTACATTGTATGAACAGAAATGCTTTCAATTAGGTAATGGGAAAAGAATCAGTTCCGAATAGCCTTCCTTACAATTTCGTCTTGAAAACATTATTATTAGAAAAAAAAGAATTTTGCACAAAAAAGATGAAGAATAATAACAGTTTTGCTTTTGCTTGATTAATTGGTTACGTATTGCGAAAGACTTTTAGTTTTTCGTTAGTTTTCTATTAAAAAGAAGAATGATAAATGGGTAAAAAAATTCTATTGCTTTACATTATAAGAAATGCAATTTATAAATTTTTACTTTTATTAAGAGTTGATCGAAATCTAGTTATATGTGTTGAATAAGTAATATATATTTTTAATCAATGTCAATGACCAAGGTCAATTTAGTTACTAATGAATGCTCGATATTGAATAATGTAGCATATCTATAAAATTCATAAATCTTTCTTTTTTTTTTTTTTTTTTTTTTGAAAAAAGGCAAAGAAATAAAACTGCATTGTATAAACAAAAGTGCTTTCAGTTAGGTAATAGGAAAAAGTCAGTTCCAAATAGCCTTACTAAAAATTTCGTCTTGAAAACATTATTATTAGAAAAAAGAAATCCTGCAGAAAAAGATAAAAACTAATATCATTTCGGCTCTTTCTTATAAATTGCTTGTGTATTACTAAATATTTTTAGCTTTTCGTTAGATTTTCATTAAAAAAAAGAAAGATCCATAGGAAAAAAAAATCTATTGCTTTATGTTCTTAGTTATGTAATTTATTAATTTTTACTTTTACAAAGGATTGAACGAAATCTAGTTATATGTATCAAATAAGTAGTATATATTTTATCTAGCTTCAATTTATGCCAAATATGACATTAACGATTTTGATATATGATCATCAGTATCGGTAAATTGCTCTTCCATGAAACCACACGGGTTCATGAGGGTCTAGATGTTGCTGATTCCCAAGTGGGATAAGAAAAAATAATATTTTTAAAGTATTGTAAAAATAAAGAAATAAAATTATAATAAATTTGTAATAAAAATTTTAAAGCCAATTCTGATATTTTAAACGAATTTTTTTGAAAACCAATTTAGATCATGATATCACATTTTGAAATAATCACATTTTAAAAGAATTAGTATTCGTTTAAGATTTTTTTTTATTTTATTACTTCTTTTAAAAAATGTGTAAAAATATATCAGAATATTTCATTACGACAAAATCATAAGTTATTATTTAATTTCATTTGAGCGCTGTTTGAAATTGAATTCAAATTAAAAAAAGGATCAACACGTTCAAATGAATATCAAAAGTCATCTCTACTACTTAAGTATTCCCTTTGATACCAAAGGAAGAAATTAATCATGGACAAATATCAAAATATTAAAAAGTTGTCGAAATAATTTGAACTGCTTGATTAAATTTCTTCACAAATTAAGGAGTTATTTTTTTTCTTATCTGATTGAAAGTTAGATAGGTCTCTGGGAGTTCTGAATTCCATTTTAATTAGAAATTCGAAACATTTCAGCTGTTTGTTTGTTTGAATCCAATTCGATTACTTAACTTAATTGGATATCCAAGTGATAACGGTATTTCCTTCCACAGTTAATTTTTTTCTTTTTTTGCATTTTAAGATCTAGAAGAAGCTAAAAAATGCTAATTATAAAATATTTATTGTTTCCTTTTTGATGAAATTAGTTGTTTATGTTAGTAAGAATTTGAAGGAGAAAAGATTTTAAAATTAATGAATTAGATATTGCTCGAATTTGATTTGAATTCATAATTTATATTTAAATTAACATTTAACATTTGTCGTTGGGACTTTGACATTTGTGAAAACAAGTATAAATGAAAAAATATGTATAACTATTTTGCATTTATTTATCAGATTTTTTTTTTAGTATACTAAAGGGGAATTATCTTCAACGTCTCATTTCAGTTAAGATTCAACTTTATCAAAATAAATTTTATTTCGTATTACCATTTATTTTGTTCGTGTGAAATACAGGATTTTCATAATTAAACTTAACCTATTTAGAGCATCCTGATGCTGAAATGAATTAGATTTATACCAAATTTTGTATATGTACTGTATAAAACAGGAGTTAGAGGAATTTCCAAAACATAAAAAATAGTTAAGGTGCCGTAATACTTGAAATGCAAACACAATTGTAACATAATACTTGAATAATTGTAATATATTATAATAATAATTGTAATAATACGTAAATGTTGTTGTTTGTTGTTGTTGTTTCTTATCCCACTTGGCTGGCCAAGCCCACAAGCCCATATGGACTCATGATTGAAGGGGAAGGAAGCAGCTTCTGTTGTGATGGAGCACCCGTAGGTAAAAATGACTTTTGCTCCGTGACGCTCTTACAGTCATAGAAAGACCGGGACCTACGGCAAAGTGGATTCGAACCACTACAAACATCCATGGCACAGCCGGGATTCGAACCCGAAACCTGGCACCGAGCGCCAGAGCGCTAGACACTCGGCCATTCAGGTCCCAAATTTGCCAACGGCGCGGTGTTCCCAGGTGGTCACCCACCCAAGTACTGATGATGCTTAATTTCGGTGATCTAACGAGAACCGGTATATTCAACATGGTACGGCCGTTGGCCATATACGTAAATAATATACGTAATAATTGTAATAATATATATACGTACTATTGGTACGCGTAATATTAAGTATTGCAATATATTACATATCTTATGTATTAATATACGTATACCACTATTGGTATGCGTAATAATTATAATAACACGTGTATTGCAATGATACGAATTACGTATTATACTACTAATACGTATTTTTTTTAAATATAAACTGCAGGAAATTGTAAGAAATATCACTTTAAATAACAATCTTGAACAAGCATCAATTTATATTTATCAATTCATTTATAAAATATTCTTCACATATTCGTCACATTTATTTAGTTCGTTATTTATAAAAAAAAAACTATATTCTTATTAAAAAATTAAAGATATAACATGAATTATTCTTCAAAATAACATTAACTCAATTAAAACTTTATATAGTTCTTTTTACTTATGCCTTTAAATCTTTCTTTTTTTTTTTTTTTTTTGAAAAAAATCAAACAAATAAAATTGCATTGTATAAACAAAAGTGCTTTCAGTTAGGTAATAGGAAAAAAGTCAGTTCCAAATAGCCTTATTTAAAATTTCTGCTTGAAAACATTATTATTAGAAAAATGGAATACTGCAGAAAAAGATAAAAATAATATAATTTTGACCCTTTCTTATTAATTGCTTGTGTATTAAAGCCTTTTAGCTTTTCGTTAGATTTTCTTAAAAAAAAAAAAAAAAAAGATCCGTAGGAAAAAAAAATCTATCGCTTTATGTTCTTAGTTATGTAATTTATTAATTTTTACTTTTACAAAGGATTGAACGAAATCTAGTTATATGTATCAAATAAGTAGTATATATTTTATCTAGCTTCAATTTATGCCAAATATGACATTAACGATTTTGATATATGATCATCAGTATCAGTAAATTGCTCTTCCATGAAACCACACGGGTTCATGAGGGTCTAGATGTTGCTGTTTACCAGGTGGGATAAGAAAAAATCATATTTTTAAAGTATTGTAAAAATAAAGAAATAAAATTAGAATAAATTTGTAATAAAAATTTTAAAGCCAATTATGATATTTTATATGAATTTGTTTGAAAACCAATTTAGATCATGATATCAATCACATTTTGAAATAATCACATTTTAAAAGAATTAGTATTCGCTTAAGATTTTTTATTTTTATTTTACTACTTCGTTTAAAAAACGTGTAAAAATATATTTTTATTCAATCAGAATATTTCATTATGACAAAATCATCTGTTATTATTTAATTTCATTTGACCGCTGTTTGAAATTGAATTCATATTAAAAAAAGATCAACACGTGCAAATGAATATCAAAAGTCATCTCTACTACTAAAATATTCCCTTTGATACCAAAGGAAGAAATTAATCATGGACAAATATCAAAATATTAAAAAGTTGTCGAAATAATTTGAACTGCTTGATTAAATTTCTTCACAAATTAAGGAGTTATTTTTTTCCTTATCTGATAAAAAGTTGGAGAGGCCTCTGGGAGTTCTGAATTCCATTTTAATTAGAAATTCGAAACATTTCAGCTGTTTTGTTTGAATCCAATTCGATTACTTAACTTAATTGGATATCCAAGTGATAACGTTATTTCCTTCCTCAGTTAATTTTTTTTTCTTTTTTTTTGCATTTTCAGATCTAGAAGAAGCTGAAAAAAATGCTAATTATAAAATATTTATTGTTTAATTTTTGAGGAAATTAGTCGTTTATGTTAGTAAGAATTTGAATTTGAAAAGATTTTAAAATTAACGAATTGGATAAAGCCCAAAATTGATTTGAATTCATAATTTATATTTAAATTAACATTTAATATTTGTCGTTGAGATTCTATTGACATTTGAGAAAACCAGTAAAAATGAAAAAGAAAATGTAAAACTATTTTGCACTTATTTATTGAATTTTTTAGAATAAATTTATTTGTATTCTACATCCCATTTCACATGTAGTTAACCCGGCTCAGGGGTAATGCGCATCGCTGGTGAGTATTAGGGTGGAGGCTCAATCCGCTGGCGGCTTTGATATTCAGCCTCTTGCCTTAGTCGGACTCCTGGTGGGAGTTTTCCTGGGTTTCTCCCATACGATACGTAAATACTCAATTCCAGCTTACCCGTAAAGGTCCTCCCGGAAGGTATTGTTCTCGTTCTTCAACATCACGGAGCCAAGTCAGATTTCTACGGTGCTCCATCACAACAGAAGCTGCTCCCTCTTTGACTCCTTCTATGAGACCATACATGTTCTTGGACTTGGTATAGATGCTGCTGTCGACCAAGTGGGATAAGGGAAAAAATTATTTTTAAACTAATGTAAAAATGTGTGTTTAGAAATAAAATTATAATAATTTTTTTAATAAAATGTTTTAAACCAATTCTGATATTTTTATACGATCTTTTTTTGAGATGATTTAGATTTTTCTTTTTAGAATACTTTAGATCAGGATATCAATCACGTTTAGATATAATCTTCAATGAATCAGCATTTATTGAAAAATTTTTATTTTACTAGTTCTTTGAAAAAAAAAATGAGTAAAAATATAGTTTTACACAGTCAGAATATTTCATTGTTGCAAAATCATCTTTGAATTATTTAATTTCATTTCACCGTTGTTTGAAATTGAATTCATATTAAAAAATAATTACGTTCAAATGAATATCAAAAGTCATCCCTACTACTAAAATATTCCCTTTGATACCAAAGGAAGAAATTAATCATGGGCAAATATTAAAATATTAAAAACTTGTCGAAATAATTTGAACTGCTTGATTAAATTTCTTCACAAATTAAGGAGTTATTTTTTTTCCTCATCTGATTAAAAGTTGGACAGGCCTCTGGGAGTTCTGAATTCCATTTTAGTTAGAAATTCGAAACATATCAGCTGTTTTGTTTGAATCCAATTCGATTACTTAACTTAATTGGATATCCAAGTGATAACGTTATTTTCTTCCTCAGTTAATTTTTTTATTTTACTTTTTCAGATCTAGAAGAAGCTAACAAAATGCTAATTATGAAATATTTATTATTTCCGTTTGATTAAATTAGTCGTTTATGTTAGTAAGAATTTGAAGGAGAAAAAGATTTTAAAATTAGTGAATTGGATATTGCCCGAATTTGATTAGAATTCATAATTTATATTTAAATTACCTTTAACATTTGTCTTTCAGATTTTCTTGACATTTCGGAAAACAAGCATAAATGAAAAAGGAATTGTAAAACTATTTGTGTTTATTGATAAGATTTTTTTAGTTTAAATGAGATTTATATTCCACATCTCATTTTACTTACAGTTAGCCCGACTCGTGGCTCAGTGGCAACGAGCACCGCTGATGAGCAATAGGGCGGAGGTTCAATCAGCAGGCTGCTTTGACGTTCAGCCTCTTACCTCGTTAGTCGGACTACCTGGTGGGAGTTTTCCGGGATTTCTCCCATAGAAAAAACAAAATAGTTATAGTTTCCATAAAAGTCCCCAGTCACTTGTATCCTTCTTCAGCGTCACGGAGACAATCAGACTTTTCCCTACGAGTGTTCTACCACAGCAGAAGTTGCCCCTCTTTCCCTTCTTCCATGAAATCACACGGTTTCTTGATGATTTAGAAGTTGCTGTCTACCAAATGGGATAAGAAAAAATAATGTTTTTAGAATATTGTAAAAGTAAACAAATAAAATTATAATAAATTTGTAATCAAATGTTTTAAGCCATTTCTGATATTTTAAATGAATTTCTTATAAAAGCAATTTAGATCACGATATTCACCAGGTTTTGATATAATCTTCAATGATTCAGCAATTGTTTGACATTTTTTATTTTGCAATTTCTTTTAAAAGACGAGTAAAAATATCTTTTTATACAATCAGAATATTTCCTTATGACAAAATCATATTTTTTAAATTAATTTCGTTTGACCGTTGTTTGAAATTAAATTAAAATTAAAAAAAGGATCAATGCGTTCAAATGAATATCAAACAGTTTTAAAGTCATCCCCTACTACTAAAATATTCCCTTTGATACCAAAGGAAGAAATTAATCATGAACAAATATCAAAATATTAAAAAGTTGTCGAAATAATTTGAACTGCTTGATTAAATTTCTTCACAAATTAAGGAGTTCTTTTTTTATTTCTTATCTGATTAAAAGTTGGACAGGCCTCTAGGAGTTCTAAATTTCATTTTAATTAGAAATTCGAAACATTTCAGCTTTTTTGTTTGAATCCGATTCGATTACATAACTTAATTGGATATCCAAGTGATAACGTTATTTCCTTCCTCAGTTAATTTTTTTTTTACGTTTCAAGATTCAGAAGAAGCTAAAAAAATGCTAATTATAAAATATTTATAGTTTCCTTTTGGATGAAATGAGTCGTTTATGTTAATAAGAATTTGAAGGAGAAAAGATTTTAAAATTAGTGAATTGGATACTGCCTGAATTTGATTTGAATTTATAATTTATATTTAAATTAACATTTAATATTTGTCAGTAGGACTTTGACATTTGAGAATAAAAGTATAAATGAAAAAAAATGTAACCTATTTTGCATTTATTTATCAGAATTTTTTTTAGTATAAATGGTATTTATATTCTACATATCATTTCACTTACAGTTAACCCGACTCGAGGCTCAGTGGCAACGCGCACTGGTGGGGAGAATTAGGGCGTAGGTTCAGTCAGCTGGATGCTTTATGTTAAGCCTCTTGTCTCGTTAGTGGGACTACCTGTTGGGAGTTTTCCTGGCTTTCTCCCATAGATACGTAAATACTCAATTCCAGGTTGCCCCTAAAGGTCCTCCTGGAAGGCATTGTCCTCATTCTTCAGCGTCACGAAGCCAAGTTAGATTTCTACCTACGTTTGCTCTATCACAATAGAAGCTGCCCCCTCTTTCCCTCCTTCTATGAGACCATACAGGTTCTTGGACTTGGTCTAGATGTTGCTGTCGACCAAGTGGGATAAGGGAAAAAAAAATTTTTAAACTAATGTAAAAATTTAGAAATAAAATT